AAGCAAAGCAAGTTCATGAACAACCGCAAAGATAAGATCGATTCAAAGAGAGAAATCATAGAGGTGGAGTTGGTAATTAAGTGAGGCTAAGGTGAGTGCAATTTAATTTGTACTTATGTTATTGATCAAATTGGCTTGCGATGAGCCAGTGACGGAGTTACTATGGTAAGAAGAAACTTCTAAAATGTTATGTGATTCTTATGTGTGCATGAATATATAGAAATGGGTATATGTTATTATATGTGACATAATCTATATGCTTACATGTATATGCGATAGGTGATACTGAACTATAGGAATATAGTAAATTATAATATAAGTATGTGGTATTGACATAAGTGATTATGTAATAAAGTGAAATAAGTCCCATGATATTGAAGTATGTAAATATAGTATATGTGATATATGTGATGTATGGGAAACATATGAAAACAAAAGATGACAATGATTTACATGTCATATGAACACAAGAGAAATGATATAAGTTATATGATAGATAATATGTGAACGTATTCAAATGACATATGTTATATGATATGAAATGGATGATCATATACACATGTGTTATGTGATAAAAGAAATTATATGAGTACATGAATATATGAAGCATAAGAAAAATGCCAATGTTATATGGTACGAGAGTTATAGGTATAGTTGGCATGCCAAGAGTCGAGGGTCTACGCGGTTCTTCGGGACATATACAATATACAAAGGTCCTTCGGGACAAATACATAGGTCATTCGGGACAAATTTCATATGTCGCTCAGTGGGACTTGTATGAGCTGTGGTGACAACATAAGTGCACAACCTGTACTCGAATACCTTAAGTTCTTAGTAATGTACACGGGCCTATAAAAGATATCAAAAGTGGTTGTATTATTATATGATGTTATGTGTTTTCTTTGTGAAATGATATATGAGTTACATTATATACCGAAGTGATAGTACAAGATCATATGATAAATGAGTTAATGATAATGGTAGAGATCATGATAATGAGGTTGATGTTGATAATGATGGTATATATATATATATATATATATATATATATATATATATATATATATATATATATATGTATGCATGTATTTGTTATGTGAAATGTATATGATTTATATATGTTTTATATGCCTCACTAAGTCAACAACTTAGCGTGTGATTGTTTCACGCGTAGGTCCGAGAAGAGGAAGAATAATAAAGTTAAGCAAGACATGTCAGTTCTCCTTTCCAAAGATCAGATCAGAAAAAAATGAATAGTCTGTATTTTGTAATACTAATTGTGGTTGGTATATAAATAAAGGTTTGAATCCTATATGTTCTAATTGGTTTGTAAAATCATATGATTGAGTTTGGTAATGTTTTAAACGTATTTAAGTAATGGTAACAGTTTAGTAATGAAAGTTTAAATTTTTATACATGTTGACCGAATTACTATAGCAAGGGTATCGGTACACTGTATCAGGGTACTATACCCCTGTAGCATTGGAAAATTTTAGCATTCGGTACTGTTCACGTACTGTTCACACTGTTCACACTATATACTGTATATGTTCATAAAAACATTTTTCCTTAAATTGTTATAACGAACATAATTCAATGGTATTATCGTATTTTCTTAATATAAGTTCAAACGATTTGTTATTTGTAAGAATATTATTTTAAAAAGTCAACGTGACATCTCGAACTCGTATCCGGGTCGGGTAGGGTTGGGGTGTATATATTTTCCTTGAAGTCCTAGGTTTCAAACAGTTACATTACAAGGTGTGCATTGTCAATCGTTAAAAAATTATAAATAGATTCAATTGTAATCACCCCATATTATTCAAAAAGATCTTGTATTATTTTGAAATATTTTTGAGTTTAGGTATTAATTTGAAAAATATATATATAAATTTTAGTAAATTAAGTATCTAACTTTTTTAAACATCTATATTTTCTCACATGTTTAATTATGATTCGTTCTACTTATAATTTTAACATTTAATTAAAATAAAAATTATGTTATATTTAAAAGTGAAACAAAATTTAATATAAGCTCATGTATTTAAAAAATTAAATACCTAATTACATCAAAAATATGAAAAACATCTAATTGCACCCTAAAAGATAGAGAGAGAAAAAGCATATTGCAGATAAATATTAAAATTAAGTACCAAAAGTTATAACCTTCTAAATTTATCACTAATTAAATTAACAAATAATATAATTAAAATTAAAATATAAACTTCCCATTTGTCATATACATATCAAAGTGAAAAAAAATTAAAGCTTAATAGCTAAAATACGAACATAACCAAATTTGGCTGATGAAATTTATAATTTACCTTGTCTTAAACATGCTTTAATTTTATATATTCTTTTTAAAATTTAGTCCTCTCAATAAATTGTTTATTAAATTCAAGTCTATTAAAACGTGAGCTTTTTACTTACATAACTATCAAGTATTGTTATTTTTTAAATACCTGTAAAGTACTTAGGTGTTTCCTATTAACCAGAAATTTAAGAGATGGTGATGGAAATACTCGTGTAGAAAACTACTTCGACGTGAGCTGTTACATTATCATTTGCTCATATATTTTTTTTAGTATTAAGTGATACAAAATAATATTTATTCGAAAGATTTTAATCATTTGACAATAAACGTTCATAAATCTCTATAGATATCGTGCTCGACCCTAAAATCTCAACAAATAACAATAATTTCATAATCACTGAGATAACTTGATTTATACTGACTCACGCATTTCAGTTACTCACAAATGTTTCACGAATTATTTTACATGTTAACTTAAGTTATCGATTCGAGATTCATTCTTTTAAAGTTATATTAGTCATTAAATGAAATTTAGCCCGTACAATAACAAGATTTTATATTATTGATACTAATTTCTTAAATTTTATTAAAAATTTAGAAGTGTATAATTATAAAATTCAATAAGTATGTAATTAGATCATCGATAAAATAAAAAATTTAAATTATAATATAAAATAATATATTAATTAATGATATGTATGACTAGAGAATTATATGAAGTTTTCATGTTAACAGTTCAGCCATAGACTTCATATGTACCCAAATTCTCAACACTTTCACCGGCAGACAACTCCCTATCAAGCCAATATACAAAAGTCAAGTGCCGCCACATCAAACATCCCGGGGCAGCGCGGTCGTCTGCAACCGAACGGGATGAACCGAAAGTTTTGACATTCGAAATCAACAGCGTTGTTTTCGAATTTCTCTAAGATAAATTCGTTCATTCAGTGACGAATTTAAATTTTTTTTAAAAAAAAACACATATATATGTTAATAATATAAAATTTTATACGAAATGAACATAAATAAAATTTCAAGATAAATATAATCAATAATATATATAATTATTAGAAGAAAATTCATATTATATGCCTACCATCAAACCTTAGTGGAGACGTCACCTGCGTCTAGTTTGTCTTACCATGTGAGGTCTCTTTGAAGGCTTTTTACTCAAATATATCACATTTAAAAATAATTTTTTATTCTAACCGTCATTCCATATTATTTTATAATTTAATGCGTTTTCTGCAAGAAGTGTCATCCGCTTACATGGTACAAATGAGTTAAAACCCTTTAAATGGATTGAAATAAATAGGGGGAAATATGGGCAAAAATTATGAAAGAAAATTATACGAATTTTATTCAAAAAGAATAAATGTATGTTGTGCATAGCAAAAACACATAACAACACGAGTACGAATCAAATAATACAACATCACATGTATATTAGTCTTATGTTCATTAACTCAATAAATATATGCTTAAAATGCTATAATTAAGCACTTGAAAAACTATATATTTAAACAATGTGGTTGTAAAAAAATGTTCTTTATCTACATGACAAAAAAGAATGTTAAATTGGAAAACAATATGAAATAAATGTTAGAATAAAAATTATTTATAAATGAAATATATTTGGATAAAAACCATCTTTTTAATAGTATGATTAAAGTAATATATATTCAAAATTTTAATCTATTGATAACACATACTGCACATAATCTTTAAATTACTCATACATCAATGAAAATTGTGACATCAGAAGGAATACCATAGTTGGAAAGTTCAATAATTGTTAAAGTAAAGTTTTTTTTTTCTCGAGGTTCTTAGGCCTTCGTCTTGATTAATTCAGATCGATCCGTGTTACACTAATTTTGATGATGAATCTCTCAAAATTATACATATACAAATATTCGAATTTAAAACTACTTAAATGATATTTAAATTGCGCTACTTTCAATATATTAGTGACGTAAAGTTTCTTTGATGACACATTTAAGGTACTCCACTTTGTGATAGCCATCGGTACTATTTTAGGTTTGTTAAACTCTTCTTACTTCCATTTTAACTTCTTTTGTCATGGTATTCGGATGAACTTGGGATGTGCCTTGGATCGATGCGATAAGTAATCGATTTGATTTTATGAAGTTTTTTTTTCTTCCAAAAATATAAATTTAAATTGCGTTTAGATTCAAATTTATGACAAGAATATTTGATTTTAATTAATAATAATATAATTAACTTTTAAAAATTCGATCTAACTCTATATTACTTTGTTTTTGAAAAATATGCACAATATCATTGTTTTTAAATTTTAATTTTTTAATATGAAATTAATATCTTTTAATTCTTTAAGGCATAATATAAATAATAATAACACACTCTTTGGACGATTATTTCTCTATTCACAAAGACTTGAACCCGAGAACGAATATTCCGGTAAACTTTGGCAAAGCAGTAACAAAGGGGAAGTATGGATGAACAAATTGGAAAAAGAAACAAAGCAGCTAGGTTAATTCATAACGGTGAAATTACCGCATTCTTTTTCTCTTTCCTTAGAGGAAAATCGAACAATTCCCTTTACTTACAATTAATGATATATACCAAATTAAAAGCTATAATCACAAGATTCTTGTAAAAAAAAATCAATTAAAGGCATTAATTAGTGAGTTAAGTTGAAGTAATCGGGGAGAATTCTTTCTAAATGAATTGCTTCAACTTAGCACCACCCTTTGCTTCAGCAACCGTAGCAGCTCGCTGCACCGCCTCTGTTTCCAAAAATAAATAAATATTTTTTAACCCAAACAAAAAGTCTAATATATATTCTGAAATAAACACTACATTTTGACAAGAACCTGTAATAAAAAATCGAACGAGTTCGCAACTCAGCTTTAGAGCATTTGGATTAGCTGCAATCAGATTGATTTCATCAATTTTAGATTTATACATACTTGACACGTTAGTAAATGTTAAAAATTACTCGTAAAACTCAAACATAAAATACTTTTAACATTTGATTAAATAGTATTTTTGGTCCCTATCTTTTTATTACTATTCTTTTTAGTTGTCATCTCAATTTCAAAGGCTTCACATTACTTAATCTGATCGACCCACGTCGCACATTGATTTGATGGACGAGTCTCCCAACGGAATTTTTGAATACACAAGACATCAAACAATACCTACTTTAGCTATATCAAACTGCTTACCACTTGAACCAATTCGTTAATTTTAACCTAATATACCATTTTGAAATAAAAAAAAATCTTTTTGTAGATTGAAACGGTTAATTAAAAACTTTTAACGCTCAAAATAGGAGTTTTTAATCATACAATGAAATATTGGAGTCAAAATATTTTTAAAAAGAAAAATAATTATTAATGTGATAATTTAACCAAATATTCTGAATTTTTTTGCTTTACAATGAAATATTGTGATTAAAATGCACCAAAAGAAAATAAAAACCAAAACATTTTCTGATATTATGTTTGATTATTATTCTAAAATTAAATACAATATTCAGTCAGATTAGATATTATAAAATCATATCACGAGGACGATTTATCAATTAATTTGCTCGATTCATAATAACAATATTAAAATTTGAATATTTGACGTTGTTTAAGAAATAAAATTACCGAATGTTGGTCGAATCTTCTTTGATGTTCCTGCTCCAACCTAAAATTAAAGATTTTAGTGAAAGAAAAGATGAAATGTGAAAGAACAAATCACTGATAAAGATACCTCGGAATCCATGGCGTCGGTGTGATGAAAATCGATTCCTTCACGCTCTGAAATAAAACACCGAAACCCTAAGTTTTTCTGAACTCAGGCTAAAATGGAAGGAGAAAATGGCGAGATTGATGAAATTGCGGAACCTTGAGCTTTTCTGGTCCAAATCTGCTTGAAGATGTCTCTTGTCAAATCCTTGAAAGAAAGAAAAATATAAATTAATTTCAAACAATTCGATTCAAATAAGAAAACGTAAAAGGAAATTGATACAAAAAGGGAGGAGATTACAGGTTCAAGAACGGGAGTTTCGTGGTCATCCATGGCGGAATTGATTTGATTTTGTTCCTCGATCTTGAATTTTCGTCGCTTCTTGTCCATCTGAATCGGGAGAACGAGAAGCCGCCATGGAGCAGAGCTCAAGGGTAGAGCGCGTCTCTTGTGAATTGAAGGTAGTAAGTTTCATGAACATATTTTACTTAGGATAAACTATAAGAATGGTCATTTTATTTCAGTCTTGTTCAATTTCAGTCATCTATTTTAAAAACGTTACGTTTAGGTCACTTATGATTAGGGATGACAATGAGTCGGGTTGGGTCGGGTTTTGATCAATCTGGCCTGGCCCGACCTGACCCGACACAAAAAATATATACTCTTTACCCTACCCAACCAGATCCAAAAAATATATACCCTCCACTCGACTCCGACCTAACTGACCCTAAACCTTAAACCCTAAAATAAAGACTTAATTAAAAAAATAGAGAGGGGGTATTATAGAAATTATCCAAAAATTTATTTGAAGAAATTACACTATATCCCCGAGTCGGGTCGGATCAAATTTTTTTCACCCTTAACCGAACTTGACCCGACCTGACCCGACATAAAATAAGCTTAAATAAAAAAAATAGAGAGGGGGTATTATAGAAATTATCCATAAATTTATTTCAAGAATTATCCCCGAGTCAGGTCGGATTGAAGTTTTTTCACCCTCCACCCGAACCTTATCTCACTCCTTTGTAAAATTCGGTTCGATCTAATCCGAACCCGAATTTATTTAAAAAAAATTTAACCCTATCAGACCAGGTCAGGCCAGGTTTATTTAAATTGACATCCCTACTTACATTATTAATTTATTATATTTTGATAATTTATGTTACGTATTTATTATATTTTGGTTACTAATTCGTTAACTTATGTTCTAATATTAATTTTCAAATTAAAGTATATATTAAAATGTCGACATCATTTTTCGCCTGGACGGAAAAAAAACTCGTACGACTTGGGGGTTGTTCTTTGAAAAGGTTTTGAAATACGAGTCGTCACCAATCATTTAAGGTGTGATTGGGACACTATAAAAACCAGGTGATTTTAATCAAACATTTTATTTTTATCAAAATACCTAGTTTTAGGGTTTATGAAAATTCAAAAATCAGATTTGGGAGTTGGTTACGCGTGGGGAAGGATTAGCACTCCCACAAGCGCCCAAAAATTAGTACCTAATTGATTACCCTATATTTAGAATTGAAAATTTTGAGTTTGAACTCTATATAATTTAAAATCATTAAAGATGCAAAGTTAAAAGGGTATTCGTTTATTAATGCCAATAGCATTCTCCCACTAGCATAAATGTGGGAGATCAGCTATTGTGCCTAATAACTGGACATTGCCTTAATTTTAGAAATCATGATGCGGTCATGAAAAGGATGTTGACCTATTTCGAGAATCACCAGTAGTCACCCCAGAGCATACTTGCGAGAGATACACTATCGAATCCGTAATAAGTGAACATTGCCTTAAATTTTAAAATAAAATGCAATCGAACAAATTTTTATTAATCCTAATTAAATTAAGGATATATTAAGGGTTTCTCTAGCTTACAATGTCAAATTATGAAAATTAAAGAACTTAGAGGCATAAACCTAAAAATGTAGGCTCTAATATTAATCCTACTTGATTTTAACCAGTTATTGAATCAAATAATTGATATGGTCCCGTGAGCATTTAGGCGAGGGCCAACTCGAATTATTCCCTAAATTAAAAGGACTAGATTAAAATCTAACTAAATTGGAGGCTCTAATATTAACCTATTTAATTGTATTAATTTAAAATTCTAATTAAACTTTAAGGACCATAATGTAAGAGAACTAAAAACCAAGGATCTAAGTTTATAAGACCTAAAGTTTGAGGATTAATTAATTAATCAATCAAAGCTCTAATAATCCTAATTGATTTGTTTTTAAAAGATAAAAAATTAGTCGTTGATTAAAAAATTAAGGGTTCAAATAATCGATTCGAGTAATCGGGCATTTTATACGAAAACTCGAATTGGATTATTCCCTAATTAAAACTAATGTGAAATCCTAATTTCTAGATCAAATTTGATTTACAAATCTAATATAAAGACAAATTATAAAAAAACTAATTAAATAAAACTAAAATAACAAATTTAAAATAAACAATAAACATGCAAAAAAATAAAAAAAGTAAAGTATGTAAGGATTAAATTGTATTAATATTAAATTACAGGGATTAAAATGAATAAATTAAGCATGCAAGAAAGACTAAATTAAAACAAATTAAAAATTAAGTGACTAAATCAAAACAAAACAAAAAAACATATTAATGACTAGAATACAAAAACACGCCAAAATTGCAGGGTCTAAACACTAATTATCCATTTTTTAAAAACCTAAAATGCACTATTAAATAAAAATGCAAAATTATGAAATTGGTCCAGTCAAATTAAACTAAAATTAAACTAAAATTAAACAGTCACTACATATGACCAACATGTAAAAACATGCTTAAAAAGAGGGACTAAACAGTAAATAACCCAATAAAAATTTTACATAAGAAAAAGGGGTAAATAACAATTTAGTCATCACAGATGACCAAAATGCAAAAACACGCTAAACTTAGAGGGACTAAACAACAGATTACCCAATAAATGTATAACAAGCATAAAAGGGATAAATAACAGTTTTGGTCCTTACAAGTAGGGGTGTGCAAATCCGGGTACCTGATTTCCGGGTACCCGGAACTTCGGGTCGACGATTTCTCGGCCCGTGTCCCGACCCGGATGTTACGGGTACCCGGAAATCAGGTACCCGGATTTTGCGGGTACCCGTAATCGGGTACCCGATACCCGATTTTTAATATTTTATTTTCAAATTATTAATTTAAAAAAATATATACACAAATTTAAATGTTCGAAACTTCGAATTACATACTCTAATATCCGAACATAAAATTTAAAAGTTCAAAATACAAAATATAATAATCCATAATATAAATAATTCATTATATTTTATATAATTATATAAAAAAAATAAAAAAAAATAAAAACTAACCGGGTACTCGGGTAATCGGGTACCCAAAAAAACTAGATTTTGTGACCCGGGCCCGACCCGGGAAATGTCGGGCCAGGTACCCAACCCGGCCGGGTAATTTTTTTTAGAGAATTACCCGGTTTTTTTAGATCCGAGTCGGCGGGTCGGGTCAACCGGGTCGGGTAATTTTGCATACCCCTATTTACAAGTGACCAAAATGCAAAAACACTCTAAACCTAGGGGGACTTAAACATGATTTTACTCAAAAGATTTTCTATAAAACCTATTTTTCTAAATTTTTTTCATTTTACCCGAAAATCCCAAAAAAATTGAAAACTCCCCCTCTCTCTTCTCTCTCTCTCGACCCACTGCCAACCACCTCACATTGCTGCTCCAGCCACCGTTTCGACCCCCAAAATAGCCTAAACTTCTAGACCTACCACCTTAAACCCCTATTTGGGGCCTAAAACACTAAAAACGACCCCTTAAACACAAAACAAACCACTCGACTTTCGACCTCCTCTCACTTCAACCACCGTGGAGATGAACCGACCCTTCTTTTCATCTTCCCCTCAAGTAACCGCTCACTCTCTTCCTTTTTTTGCTTTTGTTTTTTTTTTTGTAAAATACTTTTTTTGTTATTTCGAAACTAAAAAAAGGAAAAAAATTGCCTCAAAAGTTTTTTTTGTATTGATTTTGCCAAACGGGAAAAGAAAATCCTTTTTTACAACATGTTGGGGTTTTTATACCCATATTTTTACATAGCCTTTCAAATAAAATAATACCTAGTGCTATTGTTAAATAGCTGTTTGTAATGATTTTGGGTTTTAATATCCTAAATTTTTTGAGGTTTGCTGATTTTAACATTGATTTCCCCTTTTTTATGTTGTTGAGATGATGGTATCACAATGAAGGTGGTTGGTGCTTCAATCAACTGACAGCGGTGTCTGGAAAAACAGACCTGGCAACGACGACGGTAGCAATCATTGTTGTAATGATTTTAGGGTTTAATACCCTAGATTTTTAGGGTTTGTTGATTTTGACATTAATGTCCCATGTTGCTAAGATGATGGTGGCACACTGAAGGTGGTCGGTGCTTTAGTCGATTGACGGTGGCGTCTGGAAAAGCAGATCTGGCGACGGCGATGGCTGAAGGGACACTAGGGTTAGGGTTAGTTTGTTTGGGTCGTTTGGGTTTGGTTTGGGCATTTCGGGTTTGGGTTATTCTGTAAATGGGCCTGGGTTTTTTCTGTGTTTGTAATAATATTTAAATAATAATAATAATAAATAATAATATAATAAAAATGAAAAAATGGTGATTGTAATTCCTCTTTGCTCATTGATGTGGAACGGGAATGAAGCAAAGATATAAAACATATTTTTTGGCTCAATCACTGTTCTTCAAGTTGCGAGTTCTTCTCATTATGAACTCTTAGCTGGGGATGTTAATCCACCTTCACTACAACATAATGGTTTTTTAGCAACGTTTTTTTGAATACTCGTCTGTAAATACTTGTACTTTAGTGGTGTTTGTATATAAACTCCGCCAAAGATTCATACTTTAGTGTCGATTTTATACAAATATCGCTAAAGATTTATATTTTAGTGACGGTTTTATAAAAACACCGCTAAAGACTCGTAGCGTTTATATATATATATATACCACATTTAACCAAATTTAGCAAACCCTAGCCATAAACTCAACTCTAAGCGGCCTCATGCTTTTGAGAAATCTCTCAAATTTCACCTCCATTCTCTCTCGGCCGACTCCTCAAAGGCCCAAGGCATTCACTCTAAAGTCACGGGCCACTCATCGACCACCACTTTTCGGTGGCCATACTCCGATCTCGATGGCTAAACAAACCAAAACTAACCCCAAATCAAATCTAAACATCACTTTTCTTTAACCCTTATCTCTTTAACCCATGGTTGCAGCCTTCGAGAAAACAAAGCCATCGTCGTGGCTACCGCATCTGGGTAGCCATCCCTACCTCCGAACGCCCAAATCCAAAACCAGGTGAGATCTATAAAATAACCTATTGTTATTTACCATGCAAAGACAAAAATCATTTCTCATCTTTCACGTGATGGTGCTTTTAATTGTTGTTTGATTGCCAGAACTTTGGGGTTTTTTTTGGTATAAATACAGGGAATGGAGAGTCACATGTTGCACTATCCTTCAATGAATTCTTTTTAGCTTTCTGGGTTTTTTTATAGAGCTTGAGAATTTCATTTCTGATTCAAAGAAAGAGAAAATGAAGGGATTTGTTCTATTTATGGCCGTTGGTGTTTTCTTACTACGTGGAAGTGTTGTGAGTAAATAGTGTACGAACATCCCAACTCAGCTATTGTCACATAGTTTTCGTTACGAGCTGTTGAAATCTAATAACGAGACATGGAGACATGAGATGTTTGCTCATTACCACTTAATCCCGACAGATGACTCTGCTTGGTCTGATTTGTTACCAAGGAAGATTTTGAGAGGAGAAGATGAATTGAGCTGGTAGATGACGTATCAGTGCATAAAGTTAGATTGGATTCTAATTCGATTCACTAGAGAGCACAACAAACTAACTTAGAGTACTTGATGATGCTTGATGTGGATGATTTGGTGTGGAGTTTTGGGAAAACTACTGGTTTGCCTACTCTTGGGAAGCCATATGGAGGGTGGGAGGCACGCGATGTTGAGCTCCGGGGTCATATCGTCGGTAATTGATGGCTTTAGTTCGATTTCTTTGCTATCCAAATTTCTTAATTATATTGCTTGCCGATGTAAATTATGAATTTAGTTCCTTTCTGCAGCTCTTGAACTTAGATTCACTGTTTTGAATGTTGAAGGGCATTACTTGAGTGCCATGACACAGATGTGGGATAGCACTCACAATGACACTCTCAAAGAGAAGATGTCGGCAGTCGTGTATGCCTTATCCACTTCAGAAGAAAATGGGGACCAGATATCTTTCGGCATTTCAGTCTGATCTTTTTGATCATTTCGAACCAATAAAACCGTCTGGGCTCCATACTACACCATTCACAAGGTAGATTATATGTCTGTGATTTCGAAGAATGCTTATGGGGTTCAATTCTAAGGAGAAACATAATAACTTCTAACTCAACTCGATTTAGTAGATCATGGCAGGTCTCCTGGATCAATATACATTTTCCGATAATGTTGAATCTTTAGATATGACAAAATGGATGGTCAAATACTTTTATGGCCGTGTTCGGAATGTTATAACAAAGCACAGTGTGGAGAGACATTGACAGTCACTTAACGAAGAAACCAGTGGCATGAACAACATCCTCTACAGATTGTTTACCATAACGGTGGGTAAATTTCACTTTTGTTTTACTTACCGCATCTCGTTTATTTCACTTTCTTTTTTTCGAAACTCCCCTTCCCCCTATTTGTATGTTTGTTTGAATGAAAAGGAAAATGACTTTAAAAAATGTGAAAAACTATAAATGAAAACACAAGTTTTTCCTCTGTTTATTGCTTCGAAAATGGGTGGGGTGGATATCTTATATGTATATATTTATATCATAATTATGGATTGAATGATGACTACTTCCTGTGGAAATAGTTCATCTAAGACTCTAAGTTGTATTATAGAACAATGTATATCATAATGGCCATGCTGTATATCTATGGTTGCAGAACCTTTTGGACTTTTTGGTGATAGTATGACAAATTAATGGTCTAGCTCATTAGTGTCAATTGGCAATTAACCAAAACCAGAGTCATAGTCTGGAATCTCAGTAGCAAATGCATGATCGTTGAGTATTTATGCAGTTTGCAAGTGTGCATATGATTTTCCTACAGATACACACCTTAACATTTACCACAATTAGATCCACTCGCACTAGTGACTGATAATATGCAACATCAGTCTCAAATGATAATTTTATGCGTGGAAATGATTTGTTGAAAAAGAATTCAGTCTGATTGATATATACTTGCTTTAAATGTCTGATAACTAAATAATTTCGTTTTGTTGCCTCAAGCTTATGTTTTATCACCATTGATATTTATATGTGAGACTGCGTCTTTTGTTCAGAGTTGACAGTTAATTAATGATATCCATTCTCCTTTGTATAATGTACCCCTTTTAGGTTCGTATTTTCTTTTGGTAGTGAAGCAGTTTTCTCATGCCAGTACTTTATTTTGTTAAACATATCTTAATTGATATATAATTAGTTGTAGCTTAGTTTTGGAAAAATAAAAGATTAATCTATTATTTTCATTAACGTTGAGTTACTTTTGGGTCTATCTCTTTCCATATGCAATATCGTCCATATTCCATACAACATTACTTAGTACTTCCTAAATCATGCTCTTGAACTTTGTCTTGCAGTATAGTCTGAACAATGGTGATAGATACAACAACACTGATAAACACAATTTATTAAACCAGAATACATCAAGTATGAAGTCCAAGTAGAGTGATGATTAAGAGGGTATCTAATGGGTTTCAAATGAAGGTGAAACCAAACAACAACTTCTCAAAACAGCGCATTGCTATCTACTTGGATCATATGAGACATGGAAATTTCCAACATCTTGAAACAAATACACAATCATAAAACAACACAATGTATCAATCTAACATACATAAGATAAATAACAGCGTTTGGAGAAAATGCCGTTAAATATCATTACCCTTAGCGACGTTTGTAAAAAATGCAACTAAAAACATAACCTTTAGAGGCATTTGTGAATGACAAATGCTTCTACCTTTTGCGGTGTTTGTTTCAGCGGGGCTTTTTGTGGTTTTTTTAGCTCATAAAGGTTTTTAGCGGGCTTAAAAACGCCACTATATGACTAAAAAAGCCACTAAAAACCTGTTTTTGTTGTAGTGATTCTTCTGTGATGGAATCACCTAAGTTGAACAAGTTCTTATTATTATGAACTTCTTCTCCCTCGTTGGATGAATTCTTCTCATTATTAACTCTCCCATTGGAAATGTTGATCTGCCTTCTTCTGTGATGAAATCGAACAAAGTGATGATGTTGATCTAACTCCATATGCGATGGATGAGCCAAATATTGGTTTTGTTCCAACTCCTTTTGTAATTGAAATGAACTAAGGTTGAACAAGTTATTCTCATTATGAACTTCTTCTCCCTTATCGGATGAGTTTTTCTCATTATGAACTCTCCACTGGAAATGTTGATCCACCTCCTTCTCTGATGGAATCAAACAAAGTGATAATGTTGATCCAACTCCATATGCGATGGATGAGTCGAGTATTGATGTTGTTCCAACTCCTTATGTGATGGGAATGAGCTAAGGTTGAACAAGTTCTTCTCATTATGAACTTCTTCTCCCTCATCAGACGAGTTCTTCTCATTAAGAAGTCTCCATTGGAAATTTTGACTGGTTTATCCTATCTCTGATAAGTTTTAAACCTACAAAAGATTATCACATGTTAGTGATTGTATTTGAAATACGCGAAGGTAATGACCCGATAGTCCTCCATTTTGCTAAAATCCATTTCTTTCAATGGCCTAATTCTTTGCTGAAATCATATTCTTTCTCATGAAGTCATGAAATGAAATATTTGTTGACTCTTTGAATTCCTGTCAGATTTTCAAAACTTGATGAAAAATGAATGTGAATGCTCCTATTTTTGCAAATGCCTAAATGTATGATGTGATTTTCGTGTTTTGAGTTCTAAGGTCTTGTGGATCTTTGTTTTTTTTTCTATCTTCGTCGAGTCCTCATATTTGCTAGATCCTTGCCTGATCGGTAATCCTGACATTTTTCATTTCTAAAATCAAGATTGATCTCTTAATAATCTATGTGTGCCTCTGCTCGGGAGCGGCTAGAGATATGCCTTGAAATGAACTGTGTTATTGCCATCTCATTATTCATTTTGTCATTCGGGCTATTGACATCTCTTGTGTCGCCTTCTGTCAACCACTTACTTTAATGAGTGTAGATATCAACATGGTGGATTGCCTTGGATTCCCAGTATTTTATAGGTTAATTCAAAGTTATACTGAAAAAATCACTTGTTTGGAATTGGATTATTTTAGGTTGTTTGTAACATAAAGACATGAATGATTTGAAACTTGAAGTGATAATCATGAATTTTATTGACAAAATATAGGTTTGTACACAAAGTCATGGCATTCAAAAGAATTGAATAGAGATTCTGGAAATAAAAAACATATATCCTAATGAATTCTAGCACAAATGTTCTTGAATTAGTTAATTTGACATCTCGAGATGATCCTTTGTCTGGGAGATTTCATTGTTGCTGTAACATCCTCAATACGGGCTAGTGACTAAATTGTAAAAGTTTAGAATTTATTGACTAAAACAAAATAATTGAATATTATTGTATTTTGGTATAGGGTTAAATTGCAAAGAAGAAAGAATAGAATGATAGAATGGTCTTTTGCAAGGAAAAATAATTAAAGAATAGATTTATATATTAGCTCCACGTGGAAGAGAAGAAAGAAAAACAAGGTTCCAGAGTTCTCTTCTTCTCTTCTTTTCTCCTAAACGTGAAGAGGTCAAAACAAAGATGAGATTTTTCATGAGCTAATTGTTTACTGAAATTTAAGTTTTGTTTTGATCCTTAGATGCTAATTAAGTTTAAGGAAAGATTAATTTGCTTTAAAACAACAAGATGAAGGGTGTAGGAAGAATTAAAGATAAGGAGTTATTGAATGGAATTTTGAAAAAAGTTCATATTTGAAATCGGAGGTTGAATTTGACTTGTCATCGACTTAATTAAGACATACGTAGTGTTAAAATTAGATTTAGAACATGTTGGAAATTGAGGGAGATTCTTAAAATATATGTGGAGGATTGAATTTTTAAGTTTAAGAGGTATTGAATGGGTATTAATTAGTTTAAGTAGGTATATGCAAGTTAAGGATATAAAAAGAGGGGAAAATATGAAGTGTTGAAAATATTATGAAGAGATTGTCGTGCTAAAATAACATTTCTGGGCTATATGCATCGATGCACATTCAATGTGTTTCGATGCATCAAGGGTGAAAACCCAGAAATTGTTCAATGTGCATCGATGCACTTCTTTAAAATAAAAATAAAAACATCGAATGTCATTAGTGTATCGATGCACAAGTATTGCATCGATGCACCCCCTTAAAATACAAACATCGAATGAGATTTATGTACCGATGCATAGATTGTGCATCGATGCACCCGTCAAGGGAAGCATCGATATATGGTATAGTGCATCGATGCATACCTTCATTAAAAGATGAAAATAACTTTCTTTTTAGCCTAAGGATTGATAGTTTAGAATATATTAATTAGTATACTGATTAGTATCAATGTATTACTATGTAGATATATAACGTAATTTCTTTCCGGAACAAACAAAGGATTATGATCAAGTCAAAATAAGCAAGGCCAAGGTGAGTGCATATCCTAGATGAAATGGAATTGAGACAAGACTTGCGATTAGTCTATCTCTTATCATTGAGTTTATGATTTTATATTCATGCACATGCATACATATATATGTGTTAACGTTATAGTGATTTCATGCATTTTTCATTCATGATTAATATGGTATTATATGAATGAATGCCATTATCAAAGAATTCTTCCAGATATGTGAAATAATGAAAATGATCATATAAAGTGATTTGTGTGTTTACATGGACAGTGATGAAAGAGATATGAAATGAGAAATGTATTTATAATTAAGCCCATGTTATTTAATATGAGAGCTATAGGTATAATTGGCATGCCAAGAGTTGAGGAATTATCAGTGGTCCTTCGGGACATAGTGGTTCTTCGGAAAAATCAGTGGTCCTCCGGGACATAATGGTCTTTCGGGATAAATATTCAGTGCCCCTTGAGGGAATTATATGAGTTGTGGTGACAACATAGTGCACAACCTCTATGTACTCATATACTTTTGTTCTCCATAATGTTCATGAATGTGGATTGTTATATATATTATATATATATATTATGCATCAAATAAGTCTATGATTAGCATGTAAGTGATTTATACGTAGACTACGTGTAAGAATCAAGAGGAGCAGTAATAGAGGCAACAAGGACAACATCACTGCTAAAAGATCAGATCAGAAGTAATTGACAAAGTAGCTATTTTGGTTGTGTATAGTGTTGGCATGTAATAAGTGGTTAATTACGAATGCTCTGATTGATGCTGTATTTTGTGGTTTTTATGTAAATTAATGTATTTGGTTTTAATGAAAGTTTAAAATTTACATGTTTTTCTTTAAATGTCAAAGTTTGAAAAGTCAATGTGACACCTGAGACTCATATTCGGGTCAGATATGGGTTAAGGGTGTTACATTTAATGGTATCAGAGCCACGGTTTAGTTGATTCTCGGTATAAACCGAATTCTAGAGTGTCCTATAAAGTATACATGTCAACAAAATAATGTAAACTTCTGATATGATATAATAGTAAGTATACTGTTTTGCTGAT